TCCTGCAGGGGGATCTGGTCTCAATTGGCACAGACCAGGCTGCAGGGACAGAACTCCAAAGACTCTTCTGGCAATCGGATCATCCCCAGCAGACACTGAGGGCAGTCAAATACAGGTATATCAAAATCAGGGGTGTCTCTTTGCACTAGGTCATGATTTGGCCCATTCTTTCTTTAGAAAATACTTCGTAGATGTAGATGATTATCCTTCTTAGAAAACAATGATTTATTCCTCTATGAAATATATGTCTGTCTTTAGTCATATGGGAATGCACCACTGGCAAGTTGAGCCTACAAAACAGCTGATTGATTTTCCTTGAAGGCCTTTCTCTCTTGCCTGGCTTCCAGTAAAGCAAAGGCCCTGAAAGGTGCAGCAGCTTTACAGCAGACATAAATGTTTATGTCACAGGTATCTGAAGGCAGCGACATGAACCCACTTCTCCACTCTTTCCTATACAACTCCTAACTTGTTCTCCTTGGCTTCCTGCAGTAAAAGATGCAGTGTGGACTCAAAATAATTTTCCCACTTTGAACAGTGGCAGTCCTGCCTGTCACTCTGCATGGAAAGTGCCTTTGAGAGAGAGCACATTAGAAATGTTGATACCCAGGAGATAATCCAAATTGTCTGGAGTTCTGCTGATGTCAGTGAGAATTTACATGCACCCCAAGCATGCTGGGGTCCATCCAGGTGCACCTCCCAAAGACAGAGGAGCTCACTGTACATGACTGTGCCTTCATACTTGAACAGAGCCAGGCTTTGGGAAGCTGGCACCTTCCCCTGTGCAACATCTTCTCTAAGGCACACCTTGCATCGTAATCAGCACCATAAACACTCCCTAATTATCTCTACCTGAGCCACAATGAAATCAACTCAGCATTGGGAACTTTTATTTCTAAGTAAAGTGGAAGTTTTGCCTGGTGATGGATAAAATTGTAGTTTAACTGGTCCTAAAGGTGGCTGGCATGTGGTAAAAAGGCCATGTTCTCTGGTTCCTACTGTATTAAATGCATCCTCTAGCTGAAAGAAAACAGTGATTATCAGAAAGTCAATTGTCATTCTGCCTCTTTAGAAAAATTCCCATTAAAGATAAAGCAAATTTTAATTAGATTAAGTATCCAATTACTGTAATTACATTTTTAAAAAATTCACATCATGAGGATGACCCTTTTAAAAAGGGTTACAAGAATAATTAGTGTATTCATATTAACCAAAATGTATTGGATAATATTTATACCCAGAAGGCAAAGTACATTACACATATTTCACCTTTGGGGAAAGCTTGCAAATGTTTTGGCAGTGGTATGAATATTTATAGGGAAGAGCGTGCTTTAGCAAGATTATATGAGAAAGCATTTATATGCTCACAAATTTTTACCCAAGGGTAAAGTATACATAAAATGTAGTGCAGAGATTATGGATATGCAAAGTGAGATTTAAGCGCGGAATTCATATCAGTTTGTTTAATTAATTGGAGCAGAATACTACTCCCTTTTTTTTCTTTTTTTTTTTTAATTTTTTTTTTTGATGGCTGATCAGCCACAAAATTCATCAGAGCTTTCTTTCTTTCTTTCTGCTGATCAATAACACCAGCAAAGGTGCCAGGAAAGGGTGTTCCCTCTGCAAGGCATCACCTTGTCCATGGGCTAAACCTTTTCTGTGTTCCTGATCACGCTCTGCAAGCAATCCCATCGCTGCTGGGTGCTACCTGAACAACTCACCGCGGAGCTGCCAGTCAACACTGCTCCTTTAGGGGCAAATCCTCCAGCCCTCAGTGAGGGGAAGGCTTGAAGAGACACCAAATAGGTTTGCTCACACACAGAAGACAAGAAACCACATCCTGGTTGCAGGCTGTCCCCGGAGGGCACGGAGGATGTGATCCATTTTTGCTGCTGTGCCAGCTCTTGTGCTGTGCACAAAGTTCCTGCTGCAGACCACTGAGACCTTCCCAGAGAGCTCTGCCTCTACAGCCCAGCCAACGATTTTTGCCTGCTCTGCAGCTAATCAACAGCTTTGGGAATTGCCAAGGAATTACATTCTTCCCCAGAAAACAAGCTCTTGAGCTCCTGACTGGTGTTAGCATTTGCCTACTACTGCAGCGTTTGGCTCTTGGCTGCTGAGATACTCTGCAGTGAGAATGCTTGCAGCGTGCACATAGGCACCTCTCTAACTGAGGTGAGGAGCCGTGGTAGCACAGCTTTTGACAAAACCTAGAGAAATGAGGAAGCTCTTGTGTCATTTGCTAGCTTGATTAACTTAAGAAATTTCTTCCTGATTTACATTTATATCGGAGGTTGTTCATTTTTATAGCAATTTATACGTGGCCAGGCAAGAATGAGCAGACCAAAAAAAAAAAAAAAAAAGATAAAAAGACAGGTTTTAAATGATTTATTCAAGTTCTTTCACATTAATTTTCTCTTCACTGAATTATCAGCAATCATTCTCGAGCATTCATGCCTTCCCTGTTTTTCAGAACAGTTGAATATTGCTTTACATAATCCAAAGTTTGGTAGTCCTGTGGCTCGTGTAGATCCTTACCTACACATGTGGAAAATGTTCTGCCTTCTGAAGATGACCCTTCCTCTACAAAAGGTAAAATGTAAAATAAGTTACAAATACTTGTGCAAAGGGATGGTTGCTTTATTGCTGATATTTCCAGTGAGGATAGTGGCATGAACGTTTACAATTTCCACAACTCCCACTCTCATTTGCTGGGTTTTGAGCTGTCTTGCAAAATAAAATAGCCCAAGAACATACTTAAGGAAAAAGCATAAAAACAAGGAAAAAAAGCCACCTCTGATTTGTATTGGTTAAACTGCCTCTAAAGCTTTGTCCCATAATAAGGAGAAACTGGAGAAGTCAGTAAGCGTGTCATAGCCGAGACACAGGCAGGTGGGAAAACAGGAGGGTTAAATAAATAGGAATTAAATGAAATTACTTTGTAACATTCCTGTCCAGAAGTTCAAAACAATTTTTTGGAAATTTCTGTTGGTATCTGCTGAATACCAGTTTTACTGGCTGAAGGGTATTTTGCTATATAAGTGTTGTTTCAGAATATTATAAACTGCTAGACAACAACAATGTATTTTTCATGAAGGAATGAGGGAATTGTTTGTTGTTAGTGAACTGATGGCACATTTCTGATCAAGGCAACGCTCCTTTTGATGGCCTCCCTTGTTAACTTGGCCTCTGGAGGCATCAAGAGTTACCGACAAGTTTAGGCAAGAGGCACAGACACCAAAACAACAGCTCCCACAATTCCCATTTCCAGGAACAGTGCAGGAACTCCCAGAAATCCTGCTGTGAGAAGCCTGAAAGCTGGTGAGTGATGGGTGAAGGAGCTGTGGAAGGAGACATTCCAGCCAGGCTGGTTTGTAAGGGCTGGAGAGGTCTGACCGAGGACTGCTGTCTTCCCAGGGTGAAGGTGCTCACTAAGAAGGATTTCTGGAATTGTCCATCCAATTCCAGCTGTTCAGACAGTGAATATCTCTTTTGAAGTAATTTAAGAGCCTGTGGTATTCTGCTGCCATAGTGGTCTGCAGCGTTAGTGAAAGCAATTCTGCTCTCAGCTCAAGTCTAATTAAGGGTAGCTCTTGCGTAAAGTGAGTTAAATTCAGTAGTCACAGCCCAGACCCCATGGAAAATAGTCTAATTCAACTGCAGTAATACAGTGTAATATAAATATAATGGAAATACAAAACCATATAATTTAATTTGACATGACTGACAGTTTTTTTGCTTAAGTCGGTGAAAATGAACAAGTACAAACACTGAACTTCCCTCTTGGATCCTTTATTGTTAGTGCAAGTGGGAGCTGGTTTCAGGATGACTTTGCACAGCAGCACCCTAAACAAATGGAGGGACAGGAGGTATATTTCACACCCTCTTTTCAACATATATGCACATTTTTAATTTTTGTTGTTTAAGGTAGTTGAAGTAAATTGAATTAAGCTTAAATATGGTCTGAACTTTTCTACATCTGTCCCATATGCACAAAGGAAGGAAACAAATGCACAAGGAGAATCCAGGTTAGCCATGGCCTCAAGCAGTGCTTTTATCCAAACTGCCTTCTTGCCCTTGCAGCCTGGCTGCCCTAACTCCAGCGGTCCTACCACAGGAAATGTCCTGGCCCCTTCTCAGACCACGGAGCACAGGAACCACGCTCCCATGGATGCTCCGAGCCTTGAGCACCCTGTGCCCACCTACCCCATCACTGCCATCACTGCCTCCAGCAGAGACCAGCCCAGACACTGCAGAGCAGTGAAAAACAGGGCACAGTGGAGTTGGGGTTTTTTCTCCCAGAAAGTTCCAAGTGCTACAAGCAAGCAAGGACCAGAGCCTGGGAAACAGTTATGGGAAATAAGGAAGAATCACAGAGTGGTCTCAGTTGGAAGAGATCTTGAAGACCATGATGCTATAAACACCTTGGGGGAAAAAGACACCAACAAAACTGTTGCTGACTCCATTCTGGACCCCTCCTGGAATCCGGGCTGGGTTTTCCCTTTTGCTGAGTCCATTCCAGTCCCTGGCCTCAACCCGGTCCGGGTTTTCCAATTTGCCAACTCCATCCCAGAGTCTGGCCGGAATCTGGACTCCAGCTGGAATCTGGTCCAAGTTTTCCAATTTGCCGGCTCCATTCTGGACCCCGGTGGGAATCCTGTCCAAGTGTTCTAATTTGCCGACTCCATCCCGGACTAAAGTCGGAATCCTGTCTGGGTTTTCCTTTTTGCTGACTCCAGTCCGGACCCTGGCTAAACCCGGGGTTTCTTGAGGTCAGTTGGGGTTTCTTGAGGTCATTTTAATTCCTTCTGGGGTTACTTGAGAACATTTGTTCTGAGGAAAACGCACAAACACCAGAGGTTTTTGTCCTAAAATGGGAGACTGAGTCGTCCTTCAGCTTTATTCGAATAAAGGGACAGAATCCACTGGGGCACATCCGCAGGGCTTTCTTCCTCTCCATTTTGGAAGGATCAGCCTCCTTTTATCCTAATTCCTGGCTGCATCTTCCCCTCTTCCTTTTCCCACTGGCTGAGGTACTAGGAAGGCACAGCCTTCCCGAACCGCCTACCACAAATCCCCCCTTGAACGTACTGCTTCACCACAAAGTTTTGAGGTAGAGGCTGCGTACCTCGGGTCTGCACTCTACAACACACCCGCGGCCCAGTGACAGTAGAGACATTAACACCCACATCTTCACCCATCAAATTGTTTTTAAAGACATCAGCGCACATCTTTCATATCTAATCTAAGTCTGCTCTCTCAGTTTGAAGCCTGGAACCTGTCACTGGATGTAAAAGACCCCTCTCCATCCTTCCTGCAGGCTCCCTTCAGGCACTGGGAGGAGATGAACGGAGCCCCGTGTTCCCTCCGCCGCTGTCCGAGGCTCAGGGCTGTCCCTCGAGGCCGCAGCCCAGCCCATTCCCTGCCATCCCCACACGTTTCCAGGGTCGCACCCCAGCCCACTCCCTGCCATTCCCACATGTCTCCAGGCCCGCACCATTCCCTGCCATCCCCACACGTTTCCAGCGCCTCCTCCTGCGCCCCCCCAACCCCCCGGCGCTCCCCTCGGGCTCCCTCGCGGCGCCTGCGCGCGCCTGCGCCGCGCTCCGCCATGGCGGCCTGGACGTGCTGCCGGGTGGCCGCCGTGTCCTGCCTGGTGCTCTGCGTCTCCCTGCTCCTGCCGCGTACCTTCCTGCCCCGGGCCGGCGGCAGGCAGGAGCCCGGTGCCACGCCGCCCGAGGGTAAGAGGCCGCTGCTCGCCGCCGCCCCTCCTTGTCCCCCCCCGCCCGGGACGCCGCGGTCCCGCTCGGGGTGAGCCCGGGGCGGGCGGGCTGTGGGGGCTCCGTGAGGGGCCGGGGCTGCTCGCAAGGAGCTCCGCCGCCCGGTGTGGAAACATAGCGTGGTTCCCTCTTGGCACGTCTCTCCCCCGTGCTCATCCCTTAGCGACGCGTGGAGTGCCGGAGGATTCATTCGTGGTTGCCGCTGTGATCTACTTGCTTCTTTTTTTAAGTAGTTTACAAGCTTCAAAATATCGTTTTATTTATGTGCGGGGTATTAAAGCTTCCCGAAAAGTGACATATTCATTCCACTTTTTTCGTGGTTTTTTTTTTTTTGGGGGGTTTTTTTTTTTTTGGGGGGTTTTTTTTTTTTTGGGGGGTTTTTTTTTTTTTGGGGGGTTTTTTTTTTTTTGGGGGGTTTTTTTTTTTTTGGTGGTTTTTTTGTTTTGTTTCGGGTTATTTTTGTTGTTTGTTTGTTTGATTGTTTGTTTTGGTTTTTTTATTGCAATACATCCCTTCATGATTTTGTTACTTTGTGTATGGAGTGCTTTTGTTGTTGCATAAGAAATAAAAATTCATTTGAGTCGTCTTCATTGTTCAGTTTCCTACGCCAGCGTTTTAACCTTTTGTTTTCATGCACCAGATTCTCGTGATGCTGTGGGCACACGATGGCTTCCTTTAGGCTCACACCACATCCTGTCCATGCTGTGTCCCCCGTGCCTGCCCTCCCACTCCACATGTCCTCTCTTCAAGTTCTCAAGGAGTGGCTTCGTACAAGCGTCTCCCATCCTTTTTATGCCCATTGCCTTGTACTGTAGAGGTTATTTTTTGCCCAATGCACTTCACAGTGAAGTTGGTACCATAACCCCTTGCCTTGGCAGAGAGGGAGTTTTGCCCAGGGCTGCCCGCAGGCCAGAGGTGAGGCTGGTGGGAGCACAGAGAACTTCAGGGTGCTGTCCCACAGGGACTCATGTTCGCTGTCTGTCTTCTGCATCCTTCCAACAGCCTGGTTCTTCATGCCTGCACTCTTCAGTGACGTGGATTTCATTTAGTATTCCGTTTCAGGGTTTTCTGAGGACCTCCAGGCTGAAGTTACTGCTAAAACAGTGTTACCTTGAAGCCAAATACAGGATTTCCATGCCACAGCAGCACTTTCCTGGTTACCATGTGTATTTTTGGTTTTTGAGAACTTGAGAGTAGGTTGGTCAGCACTGTAGATCTGCAGGTGTGTAGCTCCACTGCAGGATCTCACTCTGAAAATCTATAAAGGCCCAGCAGGCAGCACAGGTGAGGACTGTGGAGTCACCTGCCTGCAGCAGGGATGGGAGCAGATGCTCTGGGAGATGGTACCTGGCTCCCCATTAACTTCTGCCCCTGCCCAGCTCCCGACCGATCCCACAGCGGTACCGGCTGATGGAATTTGACACACCGTTTCCCCACGGCAATGCAGTCTTAAGCAGTTGTCAGTTAATGCTGTGGTGCTCCTTCCTTTGGCTGCAGGTTGATCTGACAGAAAATAGCTTTAAAAATCCCAACAGCAAACTTGTTCTCCAATTATTTTCAGTGCCATCTGTCGAATGAAGATGTTTGTACCTGTTCTAGCACAGCTGGCTCTGAGCAGTGCTGTGATAGGGTGGCTTAATCACCTGTAGCTGCAGCTGAATGCTTAAAATAGGTAACATAAATACTCTCTACATCCTCAATATTGTAAATGCTTGCCATCATTCCTGCAGAGATCACAGGGAAGCACAGGTTTCTGTGTTCCTGATGCAGCACAGGCACCCAGCGTTGCTCCCCTGTTGTCCCCCAGCGCCTGCCTTTGCCTGAGGGTGGAATAACTCACCTCAGCTGGTTGGTTTCAGATGAGAGTTTGTAGCCTGTGTTTTCAACTTGATAGCAAGGATTTCATTACACCTGCTCTGTAGACCAAATTGTATTTCACCTGAAGTTATTTTTTTTATTGGAAGAATAAATCTTGATTGAACCACTTAATTCATATCTCTGTCGTTAGTTGTCCTTCTCAGTGCACTGATAACTGCAGTTACCTGGCAGGAGTTTCAGGGGCCTTTAGGTAATCATGTCATTCTTGAAGTTAATAAAGTGCTTATGGTAGTCTTGGGGGCAAAATGTCTCTGAATAAAACATACTTAAAATTTAGTACCGTTTGTTAGAACTCAATGTTACCAGAAGGCTTTTTATCAAAACAGGTTTTAGGCATGGGAATGGAACTTTCTCTAATAAAGTAATTTTCAGGGGTCTCTTTTGGGAAAATGGTGTGCATTGAACTATAGAAGTTAGTATTATCTTCCAGACAGGAATGTTGTTCTTTTTCACAGTAATAATTTCATGTATATGACAAAGCTTACTTGAAGAACTTACTGTGTTTATATCACATTCCTAGTCGACTTCATACGCAGGCATTAGAATGTTTATCTTTTCTTAAAGAGGAGCAAAAGGGGGACCCACTAGCAGTTTTACAAGTACCTTTTAAGTCTAGTGTTCATAAATATATGCCATGCATTTTGTAAAGCCACTTTCTAAGTTGGTAGTTTCAGATAAACCTTGCAACTCAATGACAACAGCAGACAGCAGCTTTACAAAAATATGTATATGACAGTTCAGGTAACCTCCTTGCTCAACTTGAATTTGTGCAATCTACACATCAGTTGCCTGCTGGTGTCGTGAAGAACATCATCTGGCAGAGACACATATTTACCTAGACTAAGAATTGCTGAATAGTACAGTAATATGTCTAAATAACTTTATAAATAGTTGAGTTGGGCTCAGTAGCAATTCCTAAAACCCATTGGATAGAACACATAACAGCTTTCATGGAAAAAAAGATGCTTGAGTGATCTGAGTATCATCATCTGGTTGGTTGTTGTATTCATTGTGTTGTAAATACAGTTTTTAAGCTTTTCTTCTTTTCAGTTGAGTGTTAATGTTGTTACAAGATTAAAAACCCCACAGTCATTGTCATGTGAAAATGCCATTGAGGACTTCATCTACATTCAGAAAATACAGCCTTTTAAACAATGTGAATGTTTGCTGGGGCATAATTTCATTTTTGGACTTCAAGCTCCTGAACGGACTGGGTTAAACAAAACATGCTCTGCTTGCCCTGTAGCTAGTTTACAAAGTTCATTTGAAGCATTAAAACTGACAACATTAATAAATGTGTAGGATAAATCCTAGGAAAAGATTGCAAAGCCAGGTAGGGTGTGCTTGGTGGGAGTTACCACACACGGCAATCAGCCTGCAGAAAGGCAGCCCTCGGGCTGTCACGGGCGAGCTGAGAAATATTTCAAAAGCTGAGCAGCCCTTTGGCACCTTTCAAAGCTAACCAGAGTTAGTGCTCTTCCCACAGCATTCCCACAACAGGAAAATGTCCTGTTGAAGTACACCCCATCCCCACTGGCAGCAGAGTAGGGTAGCAAACAAGGACCCAAGACATGCCCTTCTGTGCTCATCAAGTGTCACTTGATTTTCTTGATGCTATGTTATTGTTCCTGTATGCTGTTGCCTCCATTTGAAAGTGGTTTGTTTCATCCCTGGAAGTGTGGAATCTTGTTTAGGTCACAGTGGCACCCAAATTGTTACATTTTCCATTTATATACTGTGCATTTAAGAGCCTTGTGCATATGTTGCTTTCAAGTTGCCTGTGCCCTCAATTTTCTGTGTAATTCACATGGGTTCTTCACAGTAAAAAACTATGGAAGATAGTATTTGTTTATTAAGGAAATAATTATAGAAGTGTAAAATCAATAGGGTAGGTTTATAAATAGGAGTCATGAAATTCCCCTTTAAAATTATCTTGGTAATTCAATTTCTAGTGTCTGTCCTCTTGGCCTGTTATATTTAATTGAATTGAATCTTTTAAAGCACAAACGAGGCCTTGTGGATAATTTAGAAAACTATTCGCTTTAAATGCAGTTTCACCTTTCAATTTTCTGCTTTCTTGATATCTCTCTTCTTAAAAATTAAATAATATTTGCATAAATATAAGATGTTTTATAAGTGTTTACCTACCCTGCTGCTTCATCCCCACCTTAGTGATGCTGCTCTCTGCACGACATCACACTCGTTTCCACAGTGACCTGCTGCTGCAGGGCATTGTTGCTGCAGCAGGGGGACTTTCTTGTAAATAAGATGCTATGCTTTCCATCACAGACTTTGAATAATTCACTAAAATTTAAGTGCATGATAACAGCTTCCTCAGAATTAAGCTAATCTGAGAGTGGCTTTGGTCAGTGGTAGTGTACCCTGGCAGTTACACCAAAGAACTCATGGAATGTGTGCTGTCATCTACAATAAAAATGTGTTTTTAATAGTGGAACTTCATGAATTATTGATACCACTTCCTAGTAAGTGTTTACTGCAATTTTCTGTGCTCAGGAATTTAGCTGCCTATGATGGTGTTTCCTAGCAAGACCAAATGTTAATTAAATTTTTCTCTTGTGTCTCATAAAAGCACTTGCAGCTGCATACTCGCAGAAGTCAGTCATTAGCAACACCACTTCAAACCTGCTTTTCATTTTCTTTCTGCAAGCACAGGCAGCCTGTCCCAGCACCAGGCAGCAGCGTCCAGGCCATGTGTGCCAGGGAGGGGGAGTTTTCCAGCAGGGATCAGGGACTGAGCTGCAGCCCAGCCTGGCAATCCCATCTCTGGTACTTCCATCCAGCACCTCCCACCACCAGATTCCCTGGCAGGGTAGCTGAGTAACTCGGCTCAACACCAGTCAGTGGAAGGGAGTGCAGGTTCACATCCAAGCTGGATATGGAGATGGAAAGGAGGATATCAACTACACAGAGGAGTAAAATAGTGAATTTCACAGCAAAACTGTTGAATTGATGGCAGCAAGAAAATAGAATAATGCATGAGCTTAAATTTATTGAGGTTCTTGCACCCTTCAGTTGTCTGAAATCATTTGCAGCACCATTTCAGGCTCTCTGCAGTCTTACTCTGGCATCTGTACATCCATTTATGCTTGCTCTCCTTTCTTGTGTTAAATTAGCTCTGCCTAGAAAGGTTAGAAACCTCTAAATTTTTTTTCCCTCTAAAATGCCAAAGATAATATGTCCCAGGCTATATTCGATCTCCTTTCTCACACTGCTTTACCTTAGACCTTTATAAGGAGAACAGCTTGAGGTAAAACCAATTTTCTTAATCTTTCATTACTCGCTTGGTAAAATCAAGTAAAAGACTATTTCTTATGGCAATAACCAAAAATCTATGCTGGGCAAACACTGCAGCCATGTGTCAGGATGTTAGGTGGATAATGGTTTGGACATTAATACATTTATACATTAAGTGCCTTTGGGCAGTATTGAAAGATGAGGCTCACAGTGGAAAACGGAGACGTTGTTGGGGGAACTTGAGGACACAAAGAAGCAGGAATCTGGCATTTTATCCTGCTGGAGATGCTGATCTGTTGGGTATATTCAAACAAGAATATACCTATTAAAATCCCTGGTGTTTTATTTGCCCTGCCAGCTCTTTCTCTGCTAAAAATCAGGAAATTTTAATTCTGTGATTCTACTCCTAATTATGTAGGAGTAAAGTGGCTAGGAGTAAATGGCTTTAAGTAAAACCTAACTCCCAGCACTGCACATCACAAGAGACTGAGGACTGAGTTTACAGACTTAGTCCAACAAGTTACTTATTCATCAGTGGTGGTGAATTTACTAGCAGAGAAAATAGGTCACTTGCACCTGCTGCACGTTTATGCTACATGTAAAAGGGTGGAAAGCAACAGAAGGGAAATGACCATTGTGCGGTTTTTTTCAGGGAAGCTCAGTCGCTTTCCACCGAGGATGCATTCCCACGCCACTCCCGATGGCCGAGCTGTCCCTCATTTTCCAAGGTCTCACCTTACTGAAGCAGTTGCCAAGGCCAAGGCAGGTGGAGGTGGCAGTGGAAGCACTGGTGGAAGTGGAAGAGGTCTCGTGGGACAGATTATCCCTATATATGGATTTGGCATCTTCTTATATATTCTGTACATTTTGTTTAAGGTAAGACCAATATAAATTGAAAAGTCAGGGAAATAAACAACTTGGGGAAAAAGAATTTATACTCTCATTTCAGTACCTTGTTCCATTTCAGCTGTGCTCAAAAAAATGCCTATGCTGGGCCTTTGCCTGGTGGTCAAAAGATTGGAGTATCCTGTGGGTTTTGCTATTGCAAAGACTGTAGCTAAGAATGCAGGGAAGGGTTTCTCTGATCCTGCATTGGCCTCTGGCCTCTTAAAATTTCTTAAGGATTTTTTTTTCCTCCTGGAAAATGTGCAGGTCTAGAGTAATGTTAGATAAATTTTGAATACACATGTAGTATTATTTTCCCTGTTGTATGTGGCTACAGTTATATGTACTCTGTATGTCACATGTTGTTATTTGTTCCAAGAGTCTGATAGGAATTTTCAGCTGGCAAAATCTTCCAGGCATATTTCATGGTTTTGCTGGTGGGTGTTCTTTTCTGTGGCTGCCTTCTGGCCTATTTCAGTTTTCTGTATTTTTTTTCCATTGCCTCTGGGGCTTATCTATTACTATTGTTGTAACTCATAGAAGGGCCATGTTCTTGTCCTCATCAGCTGGCTTCCAAAGGAAGAACTACTCCTGCAGAGCGGAAATGCCCCCCTGCTACACCTGGGAACATGAAGAGGAAAATCAGTGAGTATGGCTCTGAGTTGTATCCATGAAGATGTTAACTTTGTAATGGTCCAACAGGATTCTTTGAGTTCCGAGTGCACTGTAAAGCTGATGTTCCCTCCCAACCCCCCCCCCCCCACCCCCAAAAAAAAACCAAACAAACCCAAAACCAAGCCAGGATCTTCTGTGTTGGAATGAGCAAGAGTTCAAAAGAATTACTGCCCTGTCACTTTCTAATCTCATTCAGCCCGTGAGGCTGTGATAGCAGCCTGATCCCAAGCCCCTCTGGAAGAAATGGCTTTTCATGAGGTTTGCTGAATTAACTGCACGGATTTGCTGAAAAACTGTGTCACTAATGATTAAAAATGGATAATAGGATGTCCAGCTATAATTGTTGTATAATCCCTAACAGTCTTGTAAGAGCATAGAAAGATACCATGAAAGCTAGTTTAATTTTTTTGAATTGGTGAATTCTTAGCCATCGTCAGGAACTTCCCTAATTCATCCTTTTTTTGCAATGCAGAGTTTTCATGCATGCAATAAAGAGAGCAAATAGTATTCTGAAATGTTAATTTGATTTTACCTAAACATTGGTGAGATAAATTCAAGTATTTGTAGGCACTTATTAGATAAATTAATAAGTTTATTAGTGAGGATTGGAAGAGTAGTTACCATTACATCATTTAAATGTGTTGTGTTTAGCGGGCTAAACTGTAATAGGAAAGAAAAGTACTTAGGACGTTATAGAAAGTGGTAGCAGGAAGGTAATTCTCTTAACATAGCTGTAATTTTCTTGACATTAATGCACATATTAGGAATGCCTAATGTGCTCAGTGCTGTAGACTGTGTCTCCAGTGCACTCGTGCTGCGTTGTGCCTGGCAATTTTGGGCAATATATTAGCAATGGTAATTACATATTTTTCTCTGATGCTTGGTGAGAGAAAGTAACTTTGTAGTAAGTTAACTTTGCCATCATTCTATCCCAAAGAACTAATGGTGAAAATTATTCTACCTTTTTTTCTAGTGCTCTTCATTTATATTCCTAAAGCATCCATGGCAAGCTGTAGCAGAGCAGGGGACAGGTCACTGGATTAGGAACCTGAAGACTGAGTCACCACTTATATAGTGACTTGGAGGAAGTAACTTCCTTTCTCTTTGCCAATTCTCCTTCCTCTTCTTTTAAAGTCTCAGACATGCAAAATAATTACATCAGTGTTGCATTAAGTCATGGCAATCTGTGCAGGATAGAGGCCTTTGTAACAGCAGGAGGTTACTTGATGGATTTCTCCATTCCTACTATGTTGAAGTTCCATTGTGCCTTTGTGCTGCTCCAGTGGGTGTAAATATTGGTAATGTTCTTCACCTTCTTAGGCCAGGAAGAGTAGGTAGAACTCTCTGAATTTTTTTTCATTTCCTCACAGGCAGTTTGGTTTGGTACAGCATTTGCTACCTGTGATAATGGGACAGGAATACATTTTCAAGGCTCCTACTGACAAACCTTGGGATTTTTTTTGTTTTGTTTTACAGCTGACTATGAGCTCACTCAACTCCAGGAAAGATTGAGAGAGACAGAAGAAGCAATGGAAAAATTAATCAACAGAGTAGGACCTACGTATGACAGGTGTGTTTCAAATTAGAATATTTTAAGGAGAGGTTCCACTTTGATTGGAAATTCAACTTTCTTCCATTATCTATATTAAAATAGCATTTTTATTGCTACTTCAAATTATAGAAGTTCGGTTTTACACATCCCAATTCTTGTTCTGCATTTTTTCTCTTTTCAGTATCTATATATAAAATAAATATTTTTTCCAACTTCATTTCCTTAACTAGAAAAGAAACTATCCCTATTTCCCCCCTTTGTACAGTGTGTTATTTGGAAGAAAATGACAGGTATATGTAAAAAGAAGATAAACCATCTCCATTTAAATTACATAAAACAGCCTGTTTTATGTGACCAAAATAATATCCTGAAATATTATTTTCCAGTTCTAGGGATTATTTTCCTAAATTGAACTGCTGTTATAATCTATGTAAATTCCAGTTAGAATAACCATAACATTTTTCTTTAAGGCAGAATTGTATAATAATCTGATTACATAACTTAGTTCCACTTTAAATTCATGCATTTGCTTCTAAATATAAAAGACAAAGGGTTGTAAAATCAGCATTCAAAATTTTATTATGTTTATTAATGTTTCCTACAAATCTGATGTCACCAGTCTGTGTTACAAAGAAACACTGGAAACAAGTCTATGTTTTTCATAAGTAAAAAGAACAGTTCGATAGTACACTGCTTAACTGCAGTGTGAAAAGTGAAGTGCCATAAATATGAAGGTGAGGTTTCCAAAAAAATGGGAGCTGTTCTGGTTGTAAATCATGTTAACTTTGTCTGGATCCTGGATCAGCCAAGGCCTGTTTTAACCCATCCTGTAGGAATCCTGTGCTGATCATGCACATTTTGTTCATTTATGGCTCAAACCACTTCTCTTTGAGTGCAGTTTTGCCCACTTTGGGCTCTGTCCTGCACAGTCTCAGGCAGACAAGGTGCCCAACCTGCCCATGTTCAGCAGGCCCCAGGGGGAGAGCCCCTGAACTGCCCTGGTTTTGTTAGTGGAACAGAAGGACCTGCTTTGACTGCCACTCATCTCTGTGCTAGAGAGCTGACAGAGTGCTCCACACGTTCCTCTAAGCTGACAGAAATAGGCTTAGGAACTGCCCAGACATTGTGCTGATTCTCAGGATGGGATTTTTTTTTTTTTTTTTTTACTGAGAAAATCGGTTTAGGGTCTGATCCAGTATTTGTTCTACTCTCTGTTATTGGCCCAAAGCCTCTATTTAGTAGAACTTCCCTTCTTTGTTCAACCAGACTATTTATATAGATGGGTCTAAAGGTCTCAGGGGAAATGAGAATCTGAATCTAATGAAGAATTTTGTATGTTGCCTCGTTGAAGAGGAGGGGAAAGGCACCTCTTGATGGAGCAAATAGCTGTTTTCAAACACTTTGAAGCTTTCTTAATCTACTCATTAATTTCACTAATACTGGATAAATCTATTAAAATAAAACCTATGGTTAGAAAGTCTAGTTAGAGTACTGAGCATGTATTTTCAATCTGGATATTGATAGATTTAAATAAAAAGGAAAGAATAAGAGAGTAAAAATGACTTGAGCTTTATTTATTGATCTGCAGTTAAACCCTTACACAAAAAAGTCAGACAGAAATAACTGGTATCAAGTTTCAGCTAATGCTGAAAGACCCCAGGTGAGACCATGGCCTTTTACACCAGGTATGGCAAAGCAACAACCAGCCTGTGTTGTAGAAAGCAGCAACTTGAATTTGCCTTTTTTTAAATGAGGTTTGAAGACCAACCTCCAAACCAACTGAGGGGACTTCCTTCCAAACCAGCATATCAGTTGGAATTACTACACCGTTAAGTAGAGAAACAACCTTCCAGAAATGGAAAACTATCAAAAAGTACAAGTACAGGTACTTTTAATAAGGCCTAGCATGTTGTAAGAAAAATGAGAAGCAAGGTAAAGAAAGCAAGAGGAAGAAAGAACTGCCCGGCCAGGTCCTCAACTATGTAACTAAAAATTTCTATTTCTGGTAGTTAGGTAAGAGAAATAATGCAGGTCACCTAGCTGTTTTTAAAGTCTTGTTTACCAGGATGTCTACTGGGAAAACTTCCTTTTTTATCATAAACTGAGCAAAGATGATATGGAAGAGTGAGAGGCTCTGTGGGGTGCCAGTTTTTGGGATGTGGCTGCATTTTGATAGTGATTACTTTAACATCACAAAGCTAAAAAATACCAGTTAACATGTCTGAGATGCCATTTTAGATTATTTAGATTATTTTCCCTGCAACCATTATGGCTCTTTAGGAAATGTTTTAATCTCACAGTAAGAATAAGAAGCCTTTACCTGTTAGTGAGCTCTTTGGGACTCTACAAAGTGTAAATATTGCCATTATGAAAAATAATACTTGTGTTGGAGCTACAAATACAGACGGCAAAAATAATGACCTTTTCTTGCACTGTAAACCTTCTGCATCTGTTATCCTCTGAGTATTCCTAAGTGCATTATATCCTGGTAAATCTCCCATGTGCAGGCAGCCAGATGTCTTACACACTGCCAGCAACCTGCAGTAAGTCTTCCCAGAGGCCTTAAATGAAGTCAAAATAACACATGGGCTTTAGTTTCTTCCTCTCTGCAGGGAAATCTGCCTTTTAAGCAAGGCATTTGGAGGAGGAATACTCTGACATACAGAGCCCTTGTGCTGCAATAAGACAGGAGTGTTTTCTAATGAGGGTATCCCACATAGTGGGAATTTTCATGTATGAAATGCCACAGTGATGCAGATGCATTGACTGATCCTTTTATCTGAGCCAGCTTATCTGCCCAATGTGCTAAAGAGATAGGTCTCTCTGTCTTCAGCCAAGTGATATATATTCAAATTTGGTACAGTTTTGTCTCTTAAAGGAGGATTAGTTCAGCAATTCTGTCACAGCTTTGGTCAAAGGCTGATGAAACCATTCCATTTTGTGGGCCTCTTAATTCACATCTCAGATTCCACATCTGCATAAGCCAGGCTTTTGGGAAGGTGCTGCCTCACACATTCAGTTCTTTGTGGAACAGACTGCCACCACAGCCTGGGGGAAATCAGCGTAACCTATGTAGAGTGTTGGGATATCAACTTTTCAAACTGTGGGGCAAAGTGCTCCTTGGTAGAAATGCAGAAAAGTGATCTCAGGGAAGCAGTTTAACCTAGGTAGTGCTAATCAAACCAGCTCCTGAGCTAAGCTCAGTTACAGACACCTGTGCCTGCAGCTGTGCACAAAATCCAGCCCAGGATCAGCACTTCCACCACAATCACACCAACCAGCAGTAGGATGCTAATCTTACTTTAAACTAGCGTGCCTTTGCTGCCCTTAGTGGTGTAGCCATCGTGTCACCATCATTCTCATTTAGGCAGAGTGGCACAAAGTACCTCTTGGAGTGCTGCTCCAGTCTCAGCAGCTCATAAGAGAAAAACCTGAAGAAGGACATTGCAAGGTTATTAGAATTCTGGTGACTAAAATGAGGCTTATATAGATACTAATGACCTAAAGCTAAAATCTGCCTCCAGCTCCTGTCTTCCCATCTCTTCCCTACGCTTCACTGAGCAGGCTACTCAGTGAATCTCCTCTTGGAGATTATATGTCTGTCTGCTCTCCAGACCAGGGATCACTAGAGATCATCTGTCTGACCTCACATACCACCTACAGCTCAGCGTTCTGTGCATGCCAAGGGCCACTCTTTCAAGTAACTTTCAAGGGGGTAACAGCTTCTGCCTCATACACAGATCCAAAAGAGCTCCAGAGGAATGGCTTGAATCGGCATTACTGCTCAAGAATGACTAAAACCTGAAGATAACATAATTTTAAACTCAAGATGAAATAAGCACCAATGGTCAGAACAATTTTCACCCCTGGTGGCAGCCAGTGTCTTTCCTATTCTGGCCTACTGAGTTAGCATACTGCAGAGCACTCCCCTCCAAATACTACCTTTTTGTCCAAAAGATTTTAGAAGCTTTGTTTCTTTGCAGAGAAAATAACACGTAATGACTACATGATCTTATCTCTTGGAAGTATTTTTGTTACAGCAGTAGTTGTATTACCTAAGCAGTAATAATTACTAGATCCAGCAATGTAGGATCAGTCAAAAGTTTGCTTTCCATCTGATAAAAATCTCAGTCCTCTCCCTGTAATTCTAAAAGGGCAAGTGACAGTTAAATGTCTTCTTTCCATTCTTAAATCTTCCTTCATGTTTCTGCCCCCCACCTCCCCACCAGGCTGCATTGTTGACTGTCTATAATGAAAGGATGATCTGTCCAATTTGCACATTTAATGGTCATAATGAGAGATTTTAGACTCTTGAGACTAATGACTGTGAGAAATTTTGATCAGCCTCACAAGCTACACATGTAGCACAGATTCAGAATTTCATTTCCTTATAATACTTCATATAAGGCACTGCACCCTAATTCTTGTCTAACACACTTTTAAAGGCAATAAATTTCTGTAATGTCTTTTGTACCATAACTCTTTTTCGTGTGTCACTTTCATCTTTCTCTCACATTGGCTTTACCTGCCTTCCTTTACCTATTTAAATTGCAGGCTTTTTGGGTAAAGGGATAAACTATAACCAGCTGAAGTACAGAGCACATGCAGATGTTGAGGAAGGATCACACTCCTCAGTAGGTTTCTCCAGACTGTGCTGCTGGCATGGATCAAACAGTTGGGCTCAATCTCTTCTCACAGTTTGCAATAACAGTGGACTAAATTCTGATGTCTAATATTTTCTAGCAGGACTCAAAATGTTACAACAGACCAGGAAAAAATGTTACTTCAACAACTCAGAGAAATTACTAGAGTTATGAAAGAAGGAAAATTCATAGATGACATCTCACCTGAGAAGGAAGCTGAGGAAGCTCCATACATGGCAGACTGGGAAGGTAAGTAAGTGAGAGCCTTTCTTACTATAACTCTAACTAGAAAAATTGGATAAAAGTTAGTCACAGTTCCAGATCCTTTCCAAGTTTTGGTTAACTTTATGCTTCCTTTTCCAGAAGCCAGTGTTCAAAATTTTGCAAGAGATTGTTTGGATTTTTTGTCCCCAAACCATAACAGAAAAAATAGATTTTGAGGTATCCAGCATTTCTTTTCATGTAAACACTGCACTATCTGCTGCCCAAAGTGGCATATGAATATTCACATATGCTCCAAATGCATTGGGTACTCTGGGTTTATATCTTTCCCTTCCTGTGCTGGGCTGGATTTCATGACAGTCATAAAACCCTTGGAAATCAGATCTGTATGTTTCAGATAACTTACAGGGTTTTTTTTCTTTTGATTAGTTCTCTTTGTTAGCTCCAATGTTGTAAAAGTCAACTCCAGGGAGTCTTTTAAAAACTATTTATTTTAATGTCCTTTCTATTCCTTGGTGTTTACCTGCTACATAAATGTGTTTTCAAGATATCTTAGTTGAGCTGTTCTGTATCATAATTTTAAATGCAGGCTTAATTTCTTGCTTTTTAAAAAGCTTTCAAAAATTGTCCAAAACATAAAGCATAAACAGTGGCCTTGAGCTCTGTTCATAAAGTCAAGTTTATTATGTTATTTCTAAAATGAAATGCACAAAGTCATTGATATATCTGTTTTTTCAACTTTATGCTGTTCATAGCAAGGGTTCAAACCATGCATCAGTCAATCTGTAGGCAGAAAAAAAAGAAGGACCCATTCTAAGATCTAAGACAGGCCATTTTTACCTGTTAGCCCCCATAGCTTCCACCAAAGCTGAGGTTTCAGTCCTGAAAGTCAGGGTTGATATCCTGGCTCCCTAAAGTAAATGAATTGTTTTTCATCACCTCCCAAGAAGACATGCTTTGCACATTCCTGCCATGGATTTCATACTGTGATGTGTACATGGCATTAAAGAGCTAACACTTGCATTGGCAGTAGGAAAAACAACTGTCCTGGCCAACTTTGCATCTACCACTGAGGTCAGGATTCCTTTTAAATGTTGGTAATACTCCAAGCTGCATATCCCTTTATTCCTAAGGTTATCCAGAAGAGACCTATCCTGTCTACGATAATTCCGATTGCTTCAAGCGCAAGCAGGACACAATCCTTGTGGATTACCCTGACCTGAGCCAGCCCTCTCCAGAAGAGCTGGCAGAAAGAATGGAGGGCATGGAAGATGAGGAGTATCCTTATGATGAAACCCTGCTGAGTGATCTCACCATGGGAATGGGTGCTCCGGATTTAATGCAGAAAAAGGATGATGTAACTCTCGTCAAGGAGGAGAAGAGCGACCTTGCTCCCAGCCAGAGCACTGGGGAGTGCTGCTGTTGCTGTGATGATGATCCTGCTGTCATAGCAGAGAATGCTGGATTCCACTCTGAGAGCTGCAGTGAAGCAGAAGAGACAAGCCAAGAGGATCTGTCCATGGAGTCAGAAAATGAAAATGCTGCACTGGAAAAGCAAAAAACTAGTGATGCAGAGCAGACAGGCACGCTGAGAAAGCGCAACACCAAAGTACTTGATTGATAGGGACAACCATCTGAATGGTAAAGGTAGAGGTCATAAACTGTCATCCTCGTGGGTTCTGTTCCCACTGAGGATTTCTCTGTGTTCATCTCCTTGTACCTATTGCATTCTCATGGTACCAGTCACATCATCTGCCTGAACTGGGAGCCAATGCCCTCTTTCATCATGGGTTACCATGATGCTGCCAGCAGTGCTTTGTCCTTGATTTTTGAAGCCTTGTATTTTGGAGCAGATGTTGTGACTTGCTCCTTTTCAATTCTGAAGGAGCTGTCCTTGGTTTTGCCCTTTGTCATCCCAGAGTTATCCAAATGTCTCTTCTGACTTTTTCAAAACCATCTGTGTGCTACCAGTGAGGAGAGTTCATCAAATCCTTCTATATACGTGAGATTACTGGGGTGCTGAAGGACAAAATATGCCTTCTTTCTCTTAGCTCAGTGTTAACTGGTCAGCAGAGCAGATCACAGTCACACACATGACTCTCTCAACTCTGCCACTGCTCTCCACTTTTGAGAAACTGCTGTCACCACAATCCACAAAGCTCCTCTGCTACCCCACAGCCCCTTTCCCAGTCATTCCGTGTTGTTGGAACGGTAGCCTAATTTATGTTGTGTTACTTGTGTGAGAAGACTGAAGCTCTGTGAGTTGTGCTTTAACTTTGCCTTAGCTGTGGTGAAATTCCCAGATGATTGCAGGAAGTGGACCACAATGTGTGAGAGCACTAAAAGTATCCCTAGAGATTAAAACCAAAAAAGCAGTGTAAAGGTTTGTCTGTAAAGGAGAGAACAGCATGAGGGGGACCCTCAGACTGAATGTAGCAGGTAGGCTTTTCCTTCTTTCTGGAAACTTGTGGGTTTTCTGTGCTCTTGGAATGCTGTTGCCAGGGTCATGTTGAGGCTGCTCCAAGTATGGGAGGCTGCTCCAAGAGGGTGCTGGAGCCAAGGGCTCCTGAGGAGAGGTGGCAGGCGGTTCCTGTGCCCAAGGGACAGCTTTTCTTGTACGAGCAGCATGGCAGGTGGGGTGGGCCCCAGGAAAGGTTCCCTCAGCTCTCATGACTCTCCTGCTTCTCCCATTCCTGGGCACTTTTCAGGCCCACCATAACCCAACTCATGGCCCAGTCACAGTGGCTGTTTGTGATGTCACCAGTCCCCTGAGGGCTCTGGCACTATGGAAGCAGGGCCCTCTGTCCACCCAGCTCTGAGGCCCTTGATGAATGTCTGGAAGAAAGAAAAGCCAGAGCAGCGAGGCGGGTGGCAGAGCAGCAGGGCCCCTTCCAGTGATGACTGAAGAGGAAGGCATGTGCGAGGAGGAGGCCGCGGAAGAGGAGGAAGAGGAGGAACAAAATCGCCCCTCTGCCATGAGTGCTGCTGCCCTGAGTTCCCTGGTCATGGCCATGCAGAGCTTGGCTCTGTGCCCACCAGGGAACAGTGTGCAGCCCAGGGACATCGGCCTGCCAGGGAACCACCGGAGCACTGAGCGGGGCGGCCGCCCACCTTTGCGTGGGACAGCACAGAGACACGTCCGGCCGAGGCCAAAGCGGGAGTCACTGTCCCTGGGCCTGAAAAATGGCAACAAGCAACAGTGCAGGAGGAGGAGGGGAAGGAGGAGAAGGAGGAGCATCAGCCCTTGCACCATGAGAGCCATTGCCAACATGCGGGGAACGGCATGCAGCGCCTGCCTCCAGGAATTCTGGAGGCTCAAAATCCGCACCTGCCTGACTGAAAAATAAGCAACAAGAAAAGGATGAAAATTATGTCCTTCCTCCTTATTTGGTACTTTGGCGACAGCACCTGTGCTCCCATGACCCCTTAAGTAGGAGGTGTTTTTTAGAAACTTTAGAAACTTTCCAGTTCCATGTCCACATCCTGCTTTGCTGGTGCCACCTTACATCCTGGGATTTCTAGGCTATGACATCAACAATGTGAGACTAGTTTTTTTAAACAAAGTTATCATAATAAAAGCATGGAGCACTAGGAATTTCTTCTTTGCAAACATGCTAGGGAATATTACAGAGTCCCAGCCTCCACATGGGGCCTGTCCTACTAGCTCACCTATTCCATGTCCTCAACATAATTTGTTGATTGCATCAACAATCATTTGTTGATTGCTATGCATTATGTGAGCCCTTCCTTCTCATCCACTACCCCACCCTTCCTGGAGCTCCTCAGGGAAAGACATGAATTAACTTGGCTTTCACCAGGCTACTGTGCTGAGGTGACAGGAGTTATTCCCAAGAGGGCCACTGAGGTTCCTGGGGTCTGGAGGCGGGGTTGCTTCAGTCAGAGGTCAACTACAATCCCTGATGGATGAGTGAAGTCAGCCTTGCATAAAGAATATTAGCAGACCAAGCCAAGAACGTAGACAGCTGTTTCTTTGGAGAAGCAACAGATGGCACTTCGGCCAGGAAGAAGTACTGGCATTCACATGGAGGTCCCTTCTAGTTGCTTCATAGGAAGTTCTTTTCAATGTTGGGAAATAAATTTTAAAAAAACCAAACCAATAAACCAAAAAAAAAAAAATAGCAGCAAAATTTCTTTCTTCTTCTCTTTTTTGGGATTTGGTGAGTGCCTATGGATTCCTCTGTCCGCTCTTGGTCTCCACAGCCCTGGAAAGGTACTGATGTGTGGGGTACAGGCCCAGCCCAGGCCTTGGAGATGGTGAGGATTTGGGGCCCATGGCACACAAGGGCAGGCTGAGGGAGCTGCCTCATGAGGGTGGGGCGGTGGTGGAGCAGGTGCCCACTGAAAGTGTGGATGCCCCATCCTTATCAACATCCAAGGTCAGGCTGGCTGGGGCTTTGACCAGTCTGGTCTAGTGTCAGCCACACCCCAATGTCCAGTCAGGCCCTTATATCATTCCCCAGTACTTCCAGGGAAATGGTAGGAGGTGCTGCAGCCCTGCTGTGGATACAGGCACAGCCCACTGTGAGGCTGACACCCTTTCCCTGGATTGTCACAGACTGGCGAGTGCTCCCTGGGTGTCACGGGAACTGTGACACTCTGAGGCAGACAGGAACATCCCAGGTAGGCATCCCGCTGCATCTACAGATCCACCATGGGCCTCTGGAACACTCTGCTTTAATGAAATAAATTGGATTCCCCTGGTCTGCACCAGCTTCCAGCCAGATGCTGGGTGCCAGTCAAGGCAGGGTGCCAGCCTGGGGCCACCCCCACAGCCCTGCTCACACTGGGATGGGATGGGATGTGCGGGGAGTGCCCATGGCAGTGCCACCCACCACAGCTGGGGCAACCCATGGGAAGGGCCTGTGCCCCATCCAGAGTCACCACCCAGCCCTGCTTCATGCCAACGCCAGCAGCCCAGCCCCCAGGACGTCTGTATCCCTGAATTAGGGGTCTGGCCCACCAGCTGCAGCTGTTCCAAACGTACCAGTAATCCACGCCATCGGGGAATCCAGCAGGTAGACATCACCACGGGAAAGTGGCTTCGTGATGGCATCATTCTCCTGATGGGAATTGCCCAATCCTCTTGGCACAGCCTTATTATGTGCTCCTAGAATAATTATGCTGTACCAGACATTTTCTCCCAGGTTTGCAAAACCTCAGCGAAGGGGGTCCCCTTTTCAAAGCCAGGTTTATTTCCCATTGTTTCAAGCACTAAGAAGTTTTCCTCTTTTACACGGAAAAAAAAAAAAGGAGCTGAACTCCCCTTTTACATGTGCCTTGCAAGGGCTCTAATCCCTTACACTTTAGGAGTTGTTAGGGCTACTTTAAACACCTGTGACAGAGCTAAAGGCTTCCTGGTTCTTTGCAGCAAGGTGTCAGAGAGCCTCAAGAGCTCATCCCTGAGGTGTCAATGGCCTTGGCAGCCCCTCCCCAGGGACCTGTAAGTGCTCTCTGAACGTAGCCAGACTTGCCTCCTGTAGCAGCTCACCAGCAGCCTTCAAACTGGGATTCCTCCTGTTTGAGTAATATTTCCTTTTCACCCTTTGCCTCAGCTTTCCCCCCTCTGAAACAGAAATGTCTGTTTAGAGGAGCATTTTAGAAAAGGACCATCACATGTGTGTCTCCAGCTTTCTCAACTATTAACTGCTCATTTCTACTAGAGAACACTCATAATTTGAAGGAGAGCTTAGCTGAACAAAATCAGGATTCTCAGAGAATTTTGATGAAGTAAATAAATCAAAGTCATAGGTCAGAACATCAGCAAAGCCGGGAATTTGAGAAAAAGTCACAGAAGCTCAGGTGGATGCCCACTGGAAGCAGTCAGGCTCTTTAAAAGCACACATTCCTTTACTTGTGATAATGTTTCCCACCTGGCAAATGAAATGGCTGTACTTTTTGTTAAAGCTAAAAGAAATAGCACATGTGCTGTTAAAAGGAAATATTATTATAAAACTAGATTTAAAAACCCATAAATGGGCTTAGTTGTCCCTGCATATCTGAGAATGGTTACAGATTGTTGCAGGCATTCCATGGGATCAGGAAAAAAGCAAAAAGTAAGATCACTGCTGGCCTTAAAAATACTCCAATGAGAATTAGTTATCAAGCAATATTTGGAAAACAGATAAATATCTTGACTTAACTCTTTGCATTAGCAATTAGTGTCCATATCTTGGATTTTTAATTTTCCAGCTAAGAATAAGAAAACTATGGCTACCTTTGAGAACACAGAACAAGCTAGTGCAATAATCTTCTATTTAAATAATATTTACTTGTACATTCTAATAAAAAATAATAAAATTCTATGTTTCTAACCTCATGTATCTCAAACACTGGGGAAGAAAAACCAGGTAAGAGCTAGAAAATCATCTATATATCAATGGTTTTATACTGACCATGTATTTCAAAGCAAATGAATGCAACACCAGATCAGACAGATTGAGCATCCCAAACACAGCTGGAAAGGTTGGTCTGGTCAAATGATTTTTCTCAGCTTTGGAACTTCATCAGGTTTTTTTTTTTTTTGGGGGGGGGGGGGGGGGGGGGGGCACAGATTCCTAAAGAGCAAATAGAAACCTCTCCTTTTTCTCAGTGATCTTCCTGGATGGTTTA